AATACTAGTCTACTAAAACACAGCCAAGATAGGTCACTTTGTAAAGACTAAAGGTCAGTTATATATTATTGGATACGGTATATGAGTGGACGTGTTCCACATCATAGTAACTTCTGTATTGTTAGCCAGGCACAGCTGGAAGGTCAATATAATAAAAATAATAAATATATATATATAAATGTATAATTTTATGAAATATAAGCTATTTAGACTAAACATTCATGTTTTCGTGTTACAATCTGTTGTCATTCTAGAACCAAAAATGCATAATTTATATTTTTATCCTAATTTTTTGATTTAGGTCACAAAGTCAATCAAATCAAACCGTACAGAAATACAGAAGTGAAAATATCAAATAAAATAAAAAGTTTTTTCTAAAAAATTTCATAATTATCTGGAGATTAGAAAAATTTTGCATGTGAAATTTGAAAATGTTCTAATGCTTTAAAGTATTTTTAATCTTAAAATCAAAATTGCTTTGCATGTTGGATTGTCAACATTCTGAAAGAAAAAGGTTTACAAGAAAATCTTTAATTAAAAAAATCTTAATACTTAATTTAAAAACCTGATATTTTATGTATGACAACCTTGTAATGTTTACCAATAACCTGCAAAATTTTGTAAAGATGTGCATACATTATCAAAAATCATAGTATAATTACTCTTGTGGATACTTTCGTGGTTATGAGATGGGTGGATTCCACCCAGCCCATAATGGAAGGGTTAATCCACTTTGAACTCCATTTATGACAACCAGAGGCATCAGAACTGGAGGTATTGTAGCACACCCACTTTTACATATTTGACTTGTAGAGCCACTGTAAATTATATTATATTAATTTTCTAGGGGCATGCCACCAGAACCCCTTACATTAAGCTGCCTTTGGCAGCACACAAGCTGTCTAGCCAAGCACCCCCATTTTGTAACCCCTTCCTACACCACTGATAATCCTCTGCTTTCTCCTATCCAGCCACTCTTCTATCCAATTAAACTTATCCTCCACACCTACAGATATAATGTTTTTTACAAGTCTTTTATGTGATACTTTGTCAAATGCTTTCTGAAATCCAGATACAAAGTCTACAATCTTTACCCTCATCTACATAAATAGTAACCTTTCAACAAATGTCAAAAGGTTTGTAACACAAGATTTTCTCTTAGTGAAACCATGCTGACTATCTAACAGAATTCTAAACTTTGTAAACTAAGTTTACAAAGCATCTTTTATCAGACATTCCAAATAGTTTTCCACAACTGACATAAGACTAATAGGCCTAAAATTACTGAGACAATTTCTATCACTTCCCTTGAAAAGAGGAGTAACATTAGCCAACTTCTAATCCTCAGGCACCTACCTACTATTCAAGGTTTTACAGAAAAAATAGTAGCAAGTGGCTCACATATCCAATCCTTGACCTCCTTCAAACCCTTGGGGAAATATCATCTAGCCCAGGGGCCTTAACGTTTTTTAAATTTCCCAATTTTTTCTTAACAAGCTCAGAATTAATGAAATCATCTTGTTTGATATTGTTTCCATCTATCAACTGTTCAAGATCAAGAATATTGCTTAAATATTCATTAGTAAAAACTAAAGAAAAAGCAGAATTTAATGTTTTGGTACAGTAATCTTGTGGAAATTTGTAGGGGAAACCCACTGATTGCTCTTAAATGTATTTAATATTTTACAGATTTTGAACTACTATGCACATATGATACATTTTCACATATAAAATTTTAGGATTAACATCCTAAGTTACTGTACCTGAAGACAGGGTTTCTTTTGGCTTTTCATATTTTTTGCCATGTGAATTTGTTTCACCAGATATTTTAAGGTCAATTTTATATATGTCATTTTCTTGCATTTTAGTGTAATTCATGAAGAAATAAAAAGAAAAAATTCAAATTTTTATTTTCATAAAACACCAAGGAGTTTCACTCATAAATAACACACTTGTGAATTTTTATAAAATACTTCTGTCATTCCAAAAAAAAACAAGCTATTTTTGCTAAGAACCTACAACACAATGGCTGCCACATAATAAATTAACTATAAATAAAATTAATCATTCAAAAGGTGCTGAGGAACAGTCACAGTGTCCCAAACTTGTATGCCACAAGAGAAATTTGGCTTTGAAACGTAATTGTCTGTGACCCACCGGTGTCATGCAGTCCATTGCAAAGTCAGTTGTGACCCATCAGTGGGGCATATAGCAGCCAAAGTGTTAAGAATATAATATCTATTTTGTGCTCTTTTTTTTTTATTTTATATATATATATATATATATATATATATATATATATATATAGTCGTCGTACTTACTTTTACTTTAGTTGTAGTTACTACCTAAACTAAACTTATTTAATTAATTACTTAATTTTAACTTTACGTAACGTAAACGTA